CGTAAGTCATGAACTGGTTTAAATCTCTGAGAGGAGAGAGTAGCTCTATGTATATGGTAAGTCATGAACTGGTTTACATCTCAGAGGAGAGAGTAGCTCTATGTATATGGTAAGTCATGAACTGGTTTACATCTTTGAGAGGAGAGAGTTGCGCTATGTCTATGGTAAGTCATGAACTGGTTTATATCTCTGAGAGGAGGGAGTAGCTCTATGTCTATGGTAAGTCATGAACTGGTTAACATCTTTGAGAGGAGAGAGTTGCGCTATGTCTATGGTAAGTCATGAACTGGTTTATATCTCTGAGAGGAGAGAGTAGCTCTATGTCTTGAAAAGCAATGTAATGTGTTCGTTTACAGGCAAGTGTTATAAATATGACCTATATATGTACATGCTGTGAACAAGAAAATTGGGAATTCCCACAACTGAACTGAATTTACTACTATAAATAGATTTTCAATATCATTTGATGTATATGTTAACAATTATTATTGTATTATATATTAAATTCAATAGAATCAAATATTTCATAATATTTACACCCACAAAGAGAAAGAACTGTGTTCCAGTCATAATATATGTTGGCGACATTAACCTAAATTGAGTTAAGATGTGATGTTTTGAATATTAGTAAATATGTACAATATACATGTAGGTCATTGTGAATGTTTTGTATATTTGTTTTATTGTATAATCCATTGATTTCATTCATTATCATCAGTATGTGTTCACTGAATGCTCTGACATATCAATAATACAACTCATAAATATTATATAATTTTAAATATGAATGATATGTTCCATATTTGTTTTCTTTTTTTCCATTGTAAAATGAGTAAGGGCCATTATCATCTTATCACGGTTGATTTGTTTGTAGGATGCAGAGGACAGGCACAAACTTTTAGTTGAAATTAATACACATAAGAAAAGAGCAGATAAAATGGAAACCAAATTGGTAAGTTAAGTATATATATAATTGTTATAAGCATTGTTATATCTGGAATGTCAGCAGTGTTCACCAATAATCCAAACATATAGTATCATAGTTTGATGTCCGCAAACTTGAAAAAACTGCAAAAACAAAAATGGATTATAAAATCAATTTTAAAAATGGAAAAGAATTTCAAAAATGAAAATGAATTTTGAAAACGAAAATGGATTTTAAAAACGAAAAAAAAAATAATAAAATAAAATAAAAACAGATGTCAGAAAAGAAAAAGGGATTATATTATGCCGTACTTGAGGGTTTTTCATCAGAATTCTGTATCAATATAACCTTGTAGGCGTTAGATGTATGGTGTTTCTCCTCAATCAATGCATTTGCTGAAATTTGCAAGAACATTTTTAAATCTTGTGATTTGTTGGCTTAGGAACATGCAAAGCATCAAAGAAACCAGTGAATTTCCATGGTTGACTTCTTGTTATTCCACAATTTTGATCTATGCCTATCACACTACTTTTTACATATCAATACACTGGGGTGAGCAATTACAAAAGTGTGTATGCTGTTGCATGAAATAAAATAGTCCGAAAAATTACAAACCTGAAATTTGTAATAGTAATTCAGAAAGTAAACCCATGTTTATTCTATTTTGTTTTCTAAGAAAATATTTTTACTTTGTGCATATTAGTCACTTAATTAACATAATAATTAAGTAATTTTCATGTCTTTCACAGATATAAAATTCCTGCTGTTATATATATCTAAAGTGTGTTGGTAGTATTATCAACTCGTACTGTGCCTCTAATAAACAAGGGAGCTCTTTATAAGCTTTCATTGATCTGAAGTTATATTTATAGCAAATAACTGGTCTTTCTGTTTGTTAATTAAAACAGCGCAAGATATATGATATGGTACTTGAGGCCAAAAAAGAAGATGGTACTGGTACGCTGAATGCCAGTGAAGTGGAAGAAGTCTTGAAAAGTGGTTACAAAGAACAGTTTAAAGCAGCAGGACGAGTGATACAAACAGTAAATGAAAGCAAAGCATGTGTGATACAATAAAAAATATAACCTTAACATATAATATTATTTTATCTGTATATATCGCATTATATTATGGTTTTTACATAAAGCTGGTATCCAGTCACAAAAGCACAGCTATACACTCACTGATCAGCTACAAATATGTGCATTTCTTGTAAGTCAGTAGGATTTACAATATCATAAATGGACTTGATACCAACTATTCTGTTAGTGTAACCATCAATCAGAATAAACATCTGCACTGTCATATTTAATTACCTTTTTCTTGATAATGTTTTTCTTATACATAAATTATCAATGACAATAATTTATTTTGTTGATGAACGTTGAAGCAATGCTATGGATCAAAGTGATATCCTAATTGATATTTGCATAATTCGAGTATATCTTCATAGTTATATTATGTAACATAATTTATGATGACCAGATAACATAACAACAAAGTAAAATACATTTTTGTTTCAATCAATACATGGTCTTCATGAAATCTGGAGGTTGAAATCTGCAGATTTGTTATGGCTACAACTATGGTATATATGTGATATGAATAAATGGATTTGATTGAATTACATAATGTACATGACAAGAGTGAACAGTTTTATAGAATTGTACTGAATTAGGTACATCTCGATTTGGCACATTACAAGACAAGATGAGATGTTTGACAGCATTGTATTATCAAAGATTCAGATAATAAAAGGTGTTTACATATACCCTAAGATCTATTATTTATATTTTTTTTAATATAGTGATTGTTATTTTGATATTAATCAAATGTTTCTGTGTGTAATTGCAGTAATACCCATAGACACTTGTACAAGTTAGTGTGTCGATGATTCTATTTCCCAGAGTTTTGTAAGTGTCTGACCACAGTATTAAATTTGAAAGGTTCATAAGCAATTGCTTTGTAAAACATTAAACTGCTGATAATTTGAATAAAGATACATTATAGACAATGTCCAGCATGTAGATACTGCTAAAGAAACAATCCAAGTCATTCACTGCCGAGTCAGCTAGCCACATACATGTATATGAAGCTCCATGCTACAACCTCCTAAATAACATATTAGAACAACCAACTCGGTTCTGTACACGTGTAATATTCTTAATATAGTGTTCATAGAAAATAGTAAAATGAAGAAGAGCATCATGAATATTTTCTATATAATTCTAAACTCCTCATCAACGAGTGGCTTAGCGACTTTAAAATCGCCCCCCATCAATCTTTCAGCACAAACTCTACAATTTATAACACGCATAATGCAAAGTACCTACGACAAAGTATGTCATAGTTTGCCTTTTTTTCTATTACATATCCATGACCATATCACCTTACATGTACGTGTTGAGCATTTCAGGGGATTGACTTTAGTAGTGAATGACTTGTTCATGGTATTATCGTGCTGTACATTGCCTTTAAGTATTTTACAATCCGCCATTTATTTTCTCATTAATAATTCAATACCTGAACAATTTAGTGTAATTATATCAGACATGATTTGCTTTATCAGATTGGATAAATCTGAGCGTGTAAATTTACATTTTTTTATCGTTTTCATCATCGTAGATTTGCATTGTCACAAACTACACCCGATTAAACTCCACGACGGAGTGGAAAATGTAATATATATATATATTATATGAAGAAACATTTTGTGCGAATTCAAGCCAACGCTGATAAGCTTTAACTATTTCTTTCAGCTGTTTAGCTTTTGCTAAATTCAAAGAGATCGTGAAATTTTGACGACCACATGACCAATTTTAACATGTGCATTAGCAAAATAAAATTCACATCTATATGCGTAGAACGTGACATATAGAGTATCGCATTAAACGAATAAATGAAAAAACGAATAAATAAAAGTTAACAAAACTTTTTTAATAAAAATGATAATGTAGGATCACGGATTTGATATCCTGTTTATCCCACATTAGTTTCACTGCTTCTAAAGGCCAAACAAACTAATTCAGTGATTTGTGGGCACGTATGTTCACAATCAGAAAATATTCATGTACATAGATATCGTTAGTTTACGTTATTGTGATTACAAAATATTATTGCTATTGTTGGCCAAGACTGTGTAGCCTTAATCAAGGTGCAACATCTGAGTTGACGAGGAGTTCCTCCTCAACTATAAAAAAATGTTGGCCAACCACAGCACAGCTATTACGACCGAGCTATTGCGATTTCTGGTGGATGTGCGCTGGGGGAATTAAAAGGATCATCCAGAATCTTTCGAGTGTTTGTTGTTTCACCATCACAAATTGGTATAGATGATTTTGTAATTTACAGAGCACGATTACACGGACCATTTGTGAATCACAGATCATTTGTTTAATTACTCGGATCAACATACAAAAAGATGAAAAATTACAGATGAAAAACAATGCTCACACTGACATCCACAAAGTGCGAAAAAGAACATCGTATTGGATGTCCTTCTGCGTTTGTTTGATTGTGACCTTTACAGCCAAATTCTCAATGGTACAATAGTTTGCTTTTAAAAGATATGTAATATAGATACTATAAACATTTAGTTACCATATAATGATTAATAAGACGTACATCTACCGGAACACCCGGGTTAGACTAATTATCATAGCTGAACGTGATTGCTGGAATATATGTGGTCTAACTCTTACGCTTCTTAACTATGGCAACGTTTATAAACAAATAATATATATACATACAGAAAAGAGTATGTTTGACTATATCTTCCTTAACACACGTGAATATGTGATTAAAGTACATATGTATGCTGCCCTCTGCATCATAAATATCATAAACTGACATTTAAACCCACCTCAAAACATAAACCTTTACTTACATACATACAACATATGTAAATATCATATCAACATATTAACTAAATTGCGCAGATTGTAGAAAAAATAATAGTACTCATTGTATTATTAAAGTATAACACTTTACAAAGTCTTGTTCAATGCATTATCAACACAACATGCAATTAAAGCTAACTGTTTGTACAAGTTACTGTAAAACATGTTGAAAAAGCGACATACTATTTTAGCAAAATGTGGTAAAATGACGTAATAACGAAATGTTGATTTAGCCAATCTCTTTGTTGGTTTCCTACTTTCACAATACTTGTCTGTCGCCTGCCAGAACAAATGGGCAGTTATAACCTCCATAAAAACAAAGAAAAATGTCAAGTGTAATAAGGAAGCGCTCCAGATTATTACGTTTTCTGTGTTGTTTATAAAGTGTGTGTGTGTGGAGAAAAAGACGTTGTTTAGCCGCCATTTTGAATTTATAATGAAGTCATTAGCGACATCTTAAATTAGCGAATTAGTTTTCTCTCTAAATTCGCGAAAAAGACATGTTTTACAGTATAATGATCGCGGTCGTGTCACATTTTTTCTTCCGATAGATTTAAGTGCAACGAGAATAACATTTTTAAAATAAAATTAAGACATTATGTAAACTACAGAATATCAGGTCGACCTCTTATAAAACATCATGGCCAGCTATAATTTGTATATGACTTGTATACCAAAATTAAGCTCAACCTTATACATTTTAAAAATTAATATCAATGTGTGTTTGAGGTACTGATTGACAAATATTGGTGATAAACTACCATAGTAACCAATGTAATTCAAGTCACACAGAAATCGTGATGCTATGAAAAGTCCAGACATAGAAGTGTCTAACACTAAATATGACAATGCGGTTGATCTTTAAGATCTGCAACCGCATTTTTGTACGATGAAATCATTCAATGAGGTAATCCCGTATGTACCATCTTGGCTCACATATAACACACGGAGAGGCTTTACTTTAGTCGGTCCACAGCAATAATTCTGAAAGATTAATGTATTGCATATTTGTGACGTGATCATTTGGCTAATATTGAATAATAAATTGCAAATGATTATATGAGTCTAGCTCAATTGACATGCTGTTAAATGATTGGGAGCAAAAGAAAACGTTGCACATTATTGGTCAAGATTTGATGTCGATGTATATGTAAATTATATATCTGTAATTGCTCAATTAATATGCATTTGAAACAGTTAATATTTTCTCCCACCTTTTCTGGCGATGTCAATGAAGCCCGATGCCAAAAATATGATCTTGGTAGGTTACTTTTATCAGAAGTGTAAACTGGTATACAACTGCCTGTGCAGAACGCGGTGTTAAATCCTCTAGGGGCAAGAATCCAATAATTCCATCCAAGATCTAAGTGAAATGAGAAATATAAGTGTACATTATTAATAGTAAATTGACTGCCCACAGAGCGTATTTCTGTGCACATGGTAAATTCTTTTCACTGCACAACAGTTCCCTCTTTTCATCACAAATTCACAAAATAGTCTTGTACATAGTCTACACTTTCCTTAAGAAGATTAAGACAATTTTTTGAGTAAGAGCTGAAATTGACTCAAATTGTGCCCGTTGGCTCCAAAATTAGAGTTCATATCCAGAAATATTGAAGGATGTAAAAAAAAATGCAGAACAATTTGGGCGAGAAAGGCTGGTGATAAAAAGGTTAAACCAAGTTTTGATTCTTTAGCATATCTATTGCCTGGGATAATAACATATGTTCGACATATAACAGATCAGTCACTATTTCACTACAAGCATGCATATATATATATAATAACTTAATTTGATACATGATGTCACTGATATAAAGCCGCCCACTAAAGTTCCATTGGCCAATCGCATTTTAATGACTTAAAGACATGAATAATAACAAATATAATGTCATCACAAAGTTCTTCTAACACTGTTAGTTTATGAGTCGCAAAATGAATCACTGTAGCTGGACATAATTTGAAACGAATGTCCCCTTTCTAGTGACGAAACGTCAGAAAAATGACGAAACGTAACAAATTTGAGGATGCGCGTGGTACCAGTAGTACTTGTGACATAAACATCGGTATAACAAGATGTGTTGCAAAAGTTATAGCAAGGGGGAGAGAACATCTTATCGAATTGCCGTTACTCGTTCGTAACTACAATAAAAACGGCAGTGCATAAGCCTTAAATTCAGATTAGTAAACTAAATAAAAATATAAGGTTAAATGGTTTTAGGGATTTTAGGTATAACTACGAAGTTATCATCCAGTTGTTCAAAAGATGATATGGTAGAAGTCATCGCGTTGTCATCATACTAATTTACCTTCGAATGAAACATACAGTGGCGATGCACAACATGTGGCAGAACTCATACACCCATCTGAACTACTTCGTACGTGTCTTGACCTTTCTGAAATAGTCATCACTTCGAGGATCGGCTCAAAAGTCTCGTACATTTGCGCTAGGGGTTCTATTACACAAAAAAGGTATTAGGTCGAGTAATAATGTTCAATCATTGAATAAATAAACAGGAAATTAAACGATTTTTTACTGGGGAAACTATCTATAAATATTGTTTTTAATCTAAGCGTTTAACTTAGTATCTAATCTAGTAAAATAATTGTGATTATTATAATAGTAAATATTTAAAACACAGTGCAATAAAGTATACTCACTATTACTAGATGTATTATCACAGTTGGGAGAATCAAATTCTATGTTACTGACGTTGTAGTTTTCCTCATTTGGTATATTTTCGACATGAATTTCCAAGCCAAAGTTTTTATCCGGTGATGCGACCCATCTTTTTACTGCTGTAGTTATGGTGAATTCCAACCAACCTTCAAAATTAACAGAAACGGGTAAAGTCTCTAGCAATTTACGGTGCAACCTATTGCTCTTATGGCGCAGTTTGTAGACTGTAACGCGAACTTCGGATTCATTGTCATGGAGTCCAACATTAACAGCATCATCGTCAATATATGTTGAATGTGTCACGTTATTGCGAGTGTTTCCATCATAAAGTGATCTTCCCGGTGACTGGTGCATCTTTTTGTGAAGTTTTAGATTAGCCGATATAATAGAATCGTCTATTGGGTAAAACGACAAGTCGAAAAACAATCTCAATACGGACGAGGACGTGTTCTTCCAAGCTAATACATCGATACCAGCTGGTGGGTTGCCTGCATTTGAAATTAAATCAGAATAATAAACAGGACATGTATAAACGTTTTTGATTGTTTACTGTCGCCAAGGAAACATATTCACAACAAAAATATCACAACCTAGAAGCCACACGTGTTTTTGCCTTCTCACTGATTGCACTTACCATTCGCATTTCTCCGCCGCTATATTTCAATCACAAGACAACCGAATCAATGAATAGCGGGTCAATAAGATGCTCGCATAAATAAGCAAGGCATGTTATATAATAAGGTTATTACGAGAATACCTCAAAGTATGCACGAAGATAGTACAGCTGGAGTATCGACCGATGCGCGGCGTACTGTCTGAGTACATACTTTGAGGTATTCTCGTAACAACCTTATATTATACATCTATACCTTCCAAAGATACACCATGGGAATGCCGAAATTCAAAATGTTTAGAACAGAATCAGCGAACTTCTTTGTGGTGAGTCCAGTCAACTTCCGGTGGCAGCCATGTATGTTTTTATTATTAAAGATCGCTTACGCGCGCAATCATTCCATAATTGGAATTCGCATTTCCTAATATGGTAAGATGAAAATACCCTATGAAATACCGCAAAATTACAGCACGCTGTAACTTATGGCGTTACGGTGACAGCTGTATAATAATACATATTATACACGACGTCGGATGGGACTCATGCCAAACAAGACGGGGCGCATCGCGACGACAACCGTCATATGTCAGTCACAACATACATGTATTCCACTCACTCCAAACACATGCCGGATGTTTAACATGGCCTTCGTATTTCTAGCTATAGTAGTTAGAACATACTTATATCATTCAATGAAATCATAACTGCACCAATTTGACGGAATCGAGTTACGAACTTAGAGTTACAAATTTTAATTCAATATTCAATAAAAAGTTAACCGAATTTCGAGTTACGGGCAATATCGATTGTTTGTTTTGTTTAACGTTGCAAGTTTTCTGTAACACGGAACTCGGTTAACTGTTGAAGCGCGGTGGTCGTCGCGAAGCGCGTGTTCGAATTTCACGTAAATAAACAGTGTATCAGAACGCGGCACGACGACTGCCGTCCTTTAATTCAAGTTCGAGTTACTGAACGTGGACGTTCAACAAAAAATAAAATGTATATTGCTCATGACTCTGCAATGCGACAAAAGTTGTATTCCCACTTTGCAAATCTGTGAACAAGCTAAAATGTATAAATATTGTAAAAATGGTGTTATTTGTACTCGACATTGTGATACATTAATAGTAGACATCCTGCTCCTGTCCCTCCACGCGTTTCATTTTGAGTGTACTGTCATGAATTTGTTTTCGCGTATCTGTTAACCGACTTAATTAGCTGATTATTAGCTGAATTGCTGTGTTATGTCTGTCATCGTTTAGGTCTATTTGAAGTTTTGGACGGAACTTGGCTCAGTGATTTGGAACTAATTACAAGATACCGTCGCTATTCTGACATCCGTAGTTATTAATGTAGTGAACGATTAATCAAAAGATATGACGTATTCAGTACTTAGTTTGATTGGCTTTATGATTGAAGTTTACGCCTTAGAGTCTTTTTACTGCTTTGTAATTGGTTAGAGTTTTGAAAATGAATAAAGAGAGTTTAAGTTGGTCTTGGCGAATACTCCACGACAGACACAGTAGAGAGAGAGAGAGCAGTCCTGCGCAGTCGAGAGTCCGAGAGAGTCCAGGGGCGAGCCTTGAGGCAGTCCAGTCTTGGGCTAGTCTTGGGTCAGCCTTGCGAGAGTCTTGGGGATTTTTCCCCAGGGCGCTGTGTCTTATAGAGTGCTCCAAAAGATCGACTAAGACGAGAGCTGAAACGTATTTCGTTGTGTGTGTCTTATTTGACTGTAAAGTTAAAGTGACTTTCCCGATCCCGTACCTCAAGGGGACGAGATAGAGAGACGAGACGAGATTCCCCCCGACAGTGTGGGAACCCCGTGGAGAAGAATTTACCCCTGATAGTACTGGGGGTTATTAGCCCTTAGGCAAACATACCTATAACTGGCTTTAAGAACAAACGCAGCCTTTAATCCAGAAGTTTTTATCCACGGACCAGAACAAAATTGGAAATTCTAGTATGTATATCGAACCCCAATTATCAATTCATTATCCAGTCCCATAACAAAAGCGTGCATGTGACAATTACAGTATACTTACAAGAACTCTTTGTAATTTCCAACCGTTTAAATCGGGGGTCTTCATTCTCTCGTTCACCTTCCTCTGATTTACTGATCGTTTTTCGAAACATTTGCACAATGTGTTTCATTTGTGCTCCTGATATGGGCTTTATGTTTTTGGGGGGTTCCTTCATTCCCAATGATGTTAAAATTTGCTTTCGAATCAAAGCCAGTCGTGTTGTCTTCATTCTGTTTCTGAAATGAAATTATTTATTGATTTGCGATAATACATGAATATTAATTATTAATACATGTATATCCGATATATCGAATGTTTTTCACGGAGCAGAGACCAGAAATCGAGATTGTTTTTATTGATTTGCGATAATACATGAATATTAATTATCAATATATCCGATATATCGAAAGTTTTTCACGGAGCAGAGACCCGAAATCGAGATTGTGTTTATTGATTTGTGATAATACATGAATATTAATTATTAACATATCCGATATATCGAAAGTTTTTCACGGACACCCGAAATCGACAATATGAATTGCATGTTAATGTTTCATATAATTATTAAAAATGTCTCAAATATATCAGAATGTATGTTGTATTTGTATGTATTTTTAAAGAAGCTAAGACCAAAAAATTGCATAATTTAATATTCATGCGATGCAAAATTTAAATGGGGTATCCATTTCATATTCTGACGTCTGGAAAGAGGGAGGAATCTGGAAGTACTACCCACCGCTCCGATAAGTTTGGATGAGTGGTGAGCAAAATTATTAAGTTCGATCATTTGAAATATAGAAGTATCTGTTCACGTATCCAAAACATTTTGTTTAAACATTTGTTTTTCAACATAGCTGTAAATCGATTTACATGTAATATCATACTGAATTTTAGATATAAATATTTGTCGCCCTAATTTTGGACCCATATCTGTCTCGCAGTGATATTTCGCTCACTAAAATTTTGACCATTTAGCTACTCCCCTCGAATCACGTCATTGGCAGCTTACTACAGAATCCGAACAGCTTTGCTCCCAATATTTTGGAAAACATTCGATTTTAGCTTACAAAATACACCAACATCTAAACTAACAAAAAGATGATTCTATACCTATTATATATTAATTACAAAAGATGTTTTCCTTACCTCATTACACTGGCGCGAGCTTCACCATTTAGAAATGTTGCAGAATCAGACACAGGTGGCGTAACATTATCATAATATCTACTAACACTACTGCCAGCGGTTGTATTGGCAGTTGTCCCATTGTCAATGACATTGTCGCTGACTGTTGGTTCGACCGGAGCATTATCGGTCCACTCCAGTTCGAGAGACTCGTTTTCAGGCGATGCATCGATGTTTAAAGTGTTGCACACAAGTGCACATATCAATACCATATACACTCTCCAAATCATACCGTTTTCGAAGAGATGCGAAATATTCTACTACGTCCTCACTGAAAATAAAGCATATACTTATAATATAGACACATTGTCAGCATATCAAATACGTGTACAATGGAATGTTTACCAAATGAGTATAAAAAGTGGAACCAGAATTTTGTAACTGGAAAATTTGAAAAAAAAAATTGGTCTTGGTCTGAATTACCTTGAATATGTTATTTCAACTATATGTAATTTAATTAATCATTAATTAAATTACAGGATTGTAGTTTAATTGAATTGTGTTCCTATATAAGATTGCAATTTAATTAAATGTTATCAAATTGCATTCCTATATAGGACTGTAATTTAACTAAATTGCATTCCTAAATACAATTGCAATTTACCTGAATTGCTCCACAGATCTTGCTCCTGGTCCCGCATTTGATATTTACGCAGCCTATACACAACTTGAGAACACTGTCATGCGACTACCGTGAGAAAGGTTTGGAAAAAATCAAGCGAAAAAACAATAACCTGACGCAAGCCAAAATAAGCTGTACGCGCCGTAACAATGAACGACTGTGTGCGACTCAGTTTGATAGAAGAATGTCATAAACAGTCAGACTGCCGTCATGTAAAGCGGGTAATGAATCGAACGGCAGTATAATAAATTTAACAAACGTCCAGATATCATTAAGACATAGTCCACTTAAGACATAGTCCGCTTTACGTAGCAATAAATTTGCACAAAATAAACTTGTTATTCAAGTAAATTTGCGCCGATTGTCATTTGCTACATTAATTGAAACTGCGAAATTATAGTTTCGAAACATTAAACCGTTAAGCTCCAATTGTTTTTCGCTCAAATTTGGGTGAATTTATTTACATTCTCTGTAATTTTCACTTAATTCAATCTTAGTTTTGAACTAAACAGATGTTCTGTTGCATTACATTTTGCTTGTGAGCCCCTGATTTGAAAGGGTAGCAACAAATAAATAGAAAAAACAGCAACTTGCTCTTGATCGAACGAGCAGACTATAAATGCAACTATTTTGTGAATGGTGACTGAACTTTGGCGCTTAAAAGGTTAAACAATAAAATACTTCCCAGGATATCATAACATGTAGTATAAATATTACAATAAATATTATATACGCCTTTTTAAAAAATCAAGTAAAATATCATTACTGTAATAATGGAAGTATTTACAGATAATATTATAACCAGAATGCATTGCCGAACTCGTGCAAGTATATACTAGTAGCCAATGCAGAATTTGTCATGAGGTACATGCTTACAAACAATCAAACGTGTGGCGAGGCACACACGCCTAATCCTCCCGTTGCTATGAGCTCTGTACTTATAATACGTCACGTCACAACGAAACAAGCCAGCTATGATGTTTCAGAGTATTGAGTTGTACTCAAATGCTCTCTATATTACTAATACGCACGGGAACGTATGCATCCATGTCCCATTACCAGGTGGAAAATAACCAAGCGTCAGCGCTGCATAGGGCACAAAGTACGTAACCCATGCGGTCAACCACAATAAACAGGAAAACCCGAGTAGCAGCGCTGACAATACAAGCAGGGGAATCCAGTGAAAGGGGACACTTATAAATGAAGTACTAGAAAATAAATCATAGTAGAATACAGAGGTTGCAGCTTAAGGCAAATAAAGAAACGGTGATTTCGCGAAACAAACAACAAAAATAATCATAAGAAATGATAATGTTAATGTGTGTAATGCAATAATTACCGGCTTCTGATGAGATATTGTAGAAACTTCGCTACGCGCAGATTCTGTTGGATGAACGTATCCCCACCTGCAGAATGTCCGTGGATTTCGTGAAGAAAATGTTACGAGTCCCGTCTTTCACTGTCTCTGCACGACTTCGTCGACTGGGCGAGAAACATAAACAGCACGTGGGGTGGACGTGTTTTTCACGTGTACGTTACAAGATTGGCTACCTATGACTGGGTGATGTCTCCTTTGCACTCTCACAGGATGTGTCTTAATCGTGAAAGTTAAAAAATTACACAACCTTTATAACTGCATGGTATCAAGTAGCAACGTGGACAATTTTCTTCTTTTGCGTTTATTTCATGATTTTATGACCACGTGAGAGACGAGATTCACCATCCTTAAAAAAAGCGAGTTGCGAGTAATGTGCAATGAAGAAGAAAACAGAGCGAACTAGCTGAAAGACAAGAATTCAGTAAAAAACAAGACGGGAGCATTTAATAAATTGGCGCAAGGTAGCATCTTACCGCATTTTCCGTAAATCTCAAAATAGGGAAATAACAGACTAAATAATTACCACCTGGTTATAATTTTATTACGGGAGATTAACTAACAACTTGAAATTAATAACGCAACGGGGATAGCATTGAAATTTACTGGTCTGTCATCATGTTTATTTGTGAAGCTAACGAATGCTTGAAATCAATCAAAGGGTATTTTCAGCGAACAGCTAGTGAACGTTATTTAAGAATCGGCATAACTTTCCAAACTTTAGGTCAATTCAAAAACATTTTTTGTTTTGCTATCTTTGCGGGGGAAATCACACAACTTAGATACGGTTATAACAAAGACATCCACACACAAATATGCTACGAGGTTCATTTTGAGGATATTAAAGCCAATAATATAAATTTCGAGACAACAACATTTATGATGAAGACATTTCTACATGTTAAATAGAACAATTGTGAAATGTTATATTGTTAATAATATAGCATAGTACGCGTATCACCTATCTTTTGACAACAGCTGTGATTTTGAACATTTTTTTTTGTTTAAATATAATCATATACAGATGTCCAAATCTCATCGAAATATTGTTTTAGATTATGTAAAAAACTAACGGTCCACTGAATAGTTACCATCGTTAAAATCGGTCACTGGGGAACTGCAGACAATTGTAACGGACGACGCACACTATTATGAAAATTGAAACATAAATTATCGGTGAGAGGCCGTCAGATCTAAAAAGTGGTATTCGAAATGACTTCGCGGAGGGCCACTGGTAAATTGTCCTGTTGTACAACAATCCCTGAAGCTCACTTGACAAACTTTCAATAGATTGCGCCCTCTAGAGACCTATTAAAACACAACCAAGCGTCCATAAGTTTTTCATTTACAAGTAATTTAATGTACAATGTCAGTATATAGCTATACTTCCATACAGTCATACACATGCATACCGCGAAAGCCGGATTACCGCGATATT